ATATAAATTTGAATTTGTATTTGATTTGATTTTCAAATCAAATATTCAAATGTCAAATCGAATTGCGGAACCCTAGCCGGAGGGCTAGAAATGAAACTTAGATGAATTAATTCAGTCTTTCAAATTAATTATAATAACTTTATCACAATCATGCCTATATGAAGATATAGCAAAAAGTAATAACAAATAAATAACAAATATTTTTATTAAACTTTTTGTTTATTTACAAAACTTTTTCTTGAGTTATCTTTCAACTCAAAGAAAAATATATGCTATTTATATAAAATAAACTAATAATAATATAATATAATAAATATAATAAATAAAATAAATCTATTGAATATAATAAATTTAAAAAGTTAACAAATATAATAAATATGATCATTAGGCAAATATAACCAATTTGTCATTTAAAGATCAATTTTTGACGATTTTTTAATAATATTAATTTTCAGTTAACATCACTCACACAAGATGGTTTGAAAAGTGGCCCTATCATACTGGTCTATATTGGAGCTATGTATATTAATAACTACTTCAGAAGAATTATCTTGGGTTTGTTATTTGATTCTCTCGATGTTATCTATTAATTTCACTACTTTAGACTTAAGATCAGCAATCTTAATATCATGTCTAACATTCTCAATATCATACCTAGTATTATTAGCTGAATAATCTGCCTTGTTTTTCTCCAACTTCTCAAATCTGATCTGGAGTTCAGTATTCTCAGCATCACAACTCTTATTCACTTCCATACTCTGTTTTAGAAGCTCAGAAATCTTGACCTTAAGTTCAACTCTCTCAGTCTCAATCTTAGCGAACTTCCTTCTAAGTTTAAGAATTTCGGCATTCTTATTCTTAAGCTTATCATTCTTTACCTTAATCTCACCATTCTCCTTCCTAAGCTCTGCAATCTCAGCTAAGAGTTTAACATTTAATTCTCTTAATAAATTGATGGATTGTATGATCTATAATAATTTTTTGATATAAAATGGGAATAACTCAAAAGTTCGTTAGTATAGAGGTAATATCCTCATCAGAATTACTGATTTATTGATGTAAAAAATAAATTACAAGATTCAGAATACATAAACTTGTTTTACAAAGTGAAATAAAGTTTATATGCTAATGCCTGCCAGTATTTTGTTCATCTAAGCTATCTATATATTAATGCGTTATTCCAACATTAACTCTAACCTGATTTCATTCAAACGTTGGTATTCTGGATAGAATGAAATAGTCATCAGTTATGCACAGAACATGCAGTGTCAGAAAATAAACCAACAGTTTATAGCATTTACCTTAGTAAAGTCCTAGCCGAAATTTCATTCTATAAATGTTAGTAAGGTTTCCAGAAATCTATATGAAAATATGTAGCTTGTAAAATTACAACTGATAAATTATTGATCATTTTGGCTAGTAAAAAAATATTGTACTGCGTCAAAAATATGTAATAAAAAGCAGAATGGCAAAAAAAGAATATCAGTAATGTCGCAATTTACAGAATTTTATAGTAAAGTATGTGTTTCTATATTTCTGGAAGCGTGAAATTTGTTATTGACGAAGCAAGTAAAGAAGAAATTAGCTTATCAGAGAGTGACTATTTTTCTCGTAACCTAGTAATGATATTAGCAAGAGTGAAGTAGTAGCGGTTAACTTGAAAATTTTACTCAACAAGTATAGAGTTTACATTTCAAAGAACAGTAGATGGCTTGATAAAGATGATTAAGGACTCATGACAAATTTATCTAAAAATGCTCCCATGACATTTGTATAAATAACTGAAAGAAAGGATGTGTCTGCTTTTTTTAATGTATTGGAGTACTGTTCAGTTAAGTTAGGACGTAGATTAGACAAACTTAAGAAAGATATAAAGGATAATAAAGACGAACAATATATTAAATCTTTCCTAGAATTCCTAAAATCTTCTGAGATTAATGCTGATAATTTAGATAAGATTGATGAATACGAAATGATCACAGCATGTTGCGAGTATTATAAGACAATAAAAACAATAAAAATTATCTGCAAAGATTCCTAGGACACATCAGAAAAGTGAGATCCTATTCTGCATCTGTGATGGATATTGTTAATTATGCATGTAAAGAAAAATATGTATAGACTTGCGTTTATTGGATTCTATTCATGTTGATCAACCTATATTTTCATGGAATGATATTATCACAAAGTTTATTCCTATTCAAACGGATCTCGAAGATTTCAAGAAAAATTGATTTAAAAATTATGAAACAAGAAAGAGACTAAACAAGATATATAGTGGTACAGGTAGATAATTAGATTGTAAAACAACTAATCACATATATTTACACGCAGAATTGAATATATTAACGTATTAAGTAAGGAACATAATGAATTTATAGCAGTATCCAAGAAATGTTGTTACTTATGTGAATCATATATCAAATTTTTACGATCCAAAAAATATAAAATTACCATTTCTGAAGTACATAAGAATTTGTATTCCGGATGGAAACTTCCAAATACTTACAGTAAAGAATTTGTGAAAAGTGCTGATTCTGATAATCTAAAGCGAAATTATGTTGCTATGAAGAAGGTGACTAAAGATGCAATACAGATTAAGGCTAATTCCAATTTATGATCCAGATATTCAGTAATGTTACTTGATTAACAATTTTTTAGTGAGAATAAAGGAAAATTTTTATCAATAAAACAAAATTTACTACATTTAAAAGGTTAAACGAAATCTTTACTTTTATAAATGAATTGTTAATGCTAAACAAACAAAATCTATTTGAGTGGTGAACATTCAAAGAAAGGATAAAATATGAGTTCCTTCCCGCTTCTCAATACCACCTAATGCTAATATATAATAGTAAAAATATAAGAAAAATAGAAATAGTTTTAAATATTTTTATTTAAAATGAGTTTTAGTTGCATATTTAAATACTGATAAAATTAAGAATATTTCAATTAATAATAGTTTTAAAATTTGTAAAGTCTAATATATAAAGTAAAATATGCAGATTCTTATCCCTTAAACTGTAGAGCAGGCAAATTTGTCTGCGAAGTTAAAAAAAAAGTGTTAATTTCTTAATAAAATATTAAATATTAATTTTATTAATATCATTATTATATAA